TTTTGTTTTGGATCTTTTGATACCTGATATCTGATCCTGCTGACTCCTTAAGATCACACAGGCTGGTGTGCTTCTTCCATGTGGGCTTATTTTATTCCTTGCTAGATGGCCACTTGCTTAACTTCAAGCTTTTAAGGCTCCAGATGCTGATAGCCGGGCACCATCAGCTTTCTTTAGCACATTTGCTTATGCACCCATTTTGTCTTCAGCGAGCGTGTCGGGAAGGTGAGCATCAAAGTGTACAGCTTTCTTTTCTATCGAGGTTTCTTGCAGTTTTATTTTGCCATTGTTGTTGGTTTTTTTGTGTATTTTTATATGCTTTTCTGTATATGAAAGCCAGGATAGGGAAATCTAGAGAGACAGTTACTGGATTAATAGTTCCCTGGGGGCATGGCTGGGGAAGTTGGGGGGAAATGGGGAGCTAACAATGAGTACAAGAAAGAAGGAGATGTTCTAAAGTTGATTATGGTGACGACTGTGCAACTCTTCTTGATATGATTGAGCTACCGAATTATATGATAAGTGAATTATATGTCAATAAAACTATTTTAAAGACACTTCCAGGGATATTATTTAACAAAAACATGTTTTTAGAATAGATATGTCGATGCAATGATTAAAACTAACATTTATTAAAAGTTCACTATATGCCAGAGTCTGTTAATGCATTTTAAATGAACTGTTTAAACCTTTATAACCAGTAGATGGTACTGTCACTACTACTATACCCATTTTACAGATGAAGAAGCTGAGATTGAAAGAGACTGAGCAACTTGATCAAGGTCAGGTTCAAGAACCTGCCTTGTACCAATTTGTCGTTATTAGGGGCCATCGATTTGGTTCCAAGACATAGTGTGACACTATGTACAACAGAACAAAATGCTGCCCACTACTGAGGCAGCCTCACAATTGTTGCTACATTTGAACCCACTGTGGCAGCCACTGTGTCAATCCATCTCACTCAGGGTCTTCCTTTGCTTGACACTATTTTACTAACATGACATGCTTCTCCAGGGACTGCAGCACAACTTCAGTCTTTCCTTTGTCTACCATCACGCTGTTTACTGGCTCAGTTGTGAGGATTTTTATGTTCTTTATGTTGCTGTGTCATCTACACTGATGGCTGTCGTCTTTCATCTGCATCGGGATGTGGTCCAAGTTTTCTTCGCTTTCAACAAGCAAAGTCACATCACCTACACATTGCAGGTTTTAGGGTTCTCCTTCCAGCCTGCTGCTATGTTCTTCTTCACCTAATCCAACTTTTCAGAATAGGTACTTAGTTTACAGATTGATTCAGTAGGGTGGATGGATACAATCCTCATGCTTCCTGATTTTAAACTACTTAGTACCAGGAGCCCTGGTGCTGTAGTGGTTACGTGTTGGGCTGCTAACTGCCAGGTCAGCAGTTCAAAACCACCTGCCAGCTCTGCAGGAGGAAGATGAGTCCAAATTGACTTGATAGCAACGAGTGTGATTTCTGAGGACCCCCGTGTTCTGTCTGAATGTCTGCCTCTTGGTCTAGATATAGGTTCCTCAAGAGCACCATGAAGTGTTCTGGAACTCCCATTCTTCCTAATGTTATCCGTGATTTGCATGATCCACACAGTCAAATGCTTTTGCATACTGAATAAAAGGCATTTGTTCTCATGCAAGATCAATCTCACATCAACAATGATATCTATGTCCCACATCCTCTTCTGAATCTGGCTTGGATGTCTGGCAGATTCCTGTCAATGTACTAGTACCACTGTTTTTAAATTTGGAGGTTCATCCAAAGGGCAGTCAAACAATTAGAAAAGCACACCTCTTTTACACGGCAATGGTTCAACCAAGTAGAAGGCTGTGAAAAGCAGAAGTGGGCGTGTGCGTATAAGGCTAGAATGTTGTCATTAGGCTCCCAGTAGAGTCCCTGGCTCTAGATACCTGCTTTTAGATTAGCTTTGGGTGAATTTCTTCAAGAACTGGGGGTAGTTGCTTTTATTACCGTGGACTCAAACAACTCATCGTGATGCCATGTGAGGGGGCAGCACTGCCCCA